GGCATGTTTGAACTTCATCTTAGAATATAACTCCAAGTATAGGAAACAGAAGTTTTTTTTTTGTAGCGATCCAGACAAGAGATTCTACAATCTTCGCTCCCGTAACATAGCCGCCTTTGATACGGACTCGGAAGATGATGAAATCCCAAGGTAAATCATTTTCTGTTGGTACGGCAGTTCCAAAATATTATTTTGCAGACGGAGGAAAACTGTGCGTTTTGATACAGTTCCCAGCGAAGCAACCTATGGTAGCACTGATTTCCGAAGGATGTCGATGGTTTGCTGTTTCCTCTTGTTCTTTGTCTTGAGCTCATTTGAGTTGTTGCTTTTCCAGGCTTACCGTATCGCCACTTGGCTTGGATCTGCGGCTTCTTCTGTTGTATACTATATGCTATCTGTAGCCGATTTCGCTGTGAAGTGTGTCAAAACACCTTATTATATTCTTACTGGAGAGTGAGTTGTCCTTTATTGAGGGTTTTTCTTTCTCGGAGCAAACGTAAGGGAATGTATTGGGTACTCAGAGGAATTCTTGTAGGATGGACAGCAAGTATATCACACCATCGAACTCTAGAGAAGAAGTGATACTGCATGGACGTCACCCTCATACTGTCAGGTATCAGTACATATACTTTTCTTCATCATAGTCTGCATGATTGTTTCTCTTTCATTTATAAAATATTAATCCTCACATCCTTGCGAGTTTCATTCCCTTCCTTGGTTAAGAAGAATGACTGCTGGTGCAGACGGTGATTATGAGGATCTCGATTATGATTTGTACACGGAATCTGAACCATCACCTCTTCTTTCACGATTCACCTCCTTCTGCTCCACTGTACTGTACGCTCCGTGTCGTGCTTTCCTTTTCGTCGCCTTTGCGGTTGTGGATTTGATCCGTTGGTTGTACTCAAGGTATGTGTTTGTGCTGTTCGCGCATTCTCTCACCATCCCGCATCTGCTCTAACTTTAAGCCTTTCTATTTTTATTTGTCTACACAGCTAAGGCTACTTGATTTCCTTTTTGTCTTTGCCTCCTTTTTTTTCTCGATTTTCTCACTATGCACCACGCTACGCACACG